ACAATTATTACATTTTGTAATAAATAATTATTACATTATTACATTTGACTATTTGAATTACGGCACCAATCATTAATTCCGGCTGCATATCTTCGAATTTTAAATATTATAAAACTTATATCATTTGAATATCAGTTTATATAATTTTGTGAAAAATTTTAAATTAAGTGATTTTTTTACGGTGCAATATTTCTGACATCTATAAGTATGGGGTCTTTGCCTTGAAAATCACCTTACGACATTTTCTGATCGGGCTAATTCGGACAAAAAAGACCAAAATATCGGGTTGTATTTAGATGTTGAATCACATTTTGACTTATTTATTCGATAGTTTATTCAATAAACTATCGAATAAATAAAGGTCAGATGTGATTCACATATAAATACAACCCATAAACTATCGAATAAATAAAGGTCAGATGTGATTCACATATAAATACAACCCGATATTTTGGTCTTTTTGTCCGAATTAGCCCGATCGGAAAATGTCGTAAGGTGATTTTCTATATTATTAAAAAATTTCGAATGCTTCACAAACTTCGGACATTGCATATTCGTGTAACTCATATTGAGTGTGTCACGCACTTACTTACGCGAGTAATACAAACCCCTAAAAAGAGAAACCGTTAAAGCAGGTGCCATCACGTAATCAGGCGATCGTCGACCTAATCAGAAATTGACAGGGCAGAGGATCGATTTTCCGTTCACGTGATTTCCGAACCTATGACCTTGTGTAACATTTCACATGCATCATTTACTTGTCAAACAATACTACCGCCAAGTCATTTCGAACCAAAAAATTAAAAGGTGCTTTTGATGTTTAGATCTTTATTTAATGTGCATTTTACTTAATATCAACGTTTATTAATAACAAATATATTAACTCTACAGAAAACAGAATAAAAATGAAAATACAAAATAATGAACTAAATCGATCTTTGTACAGTGAATTAAAAACGAAGTAAATTTATAAAGGTTAATTTTTCTTATAGATTCTAAAATCCTAATACACTAATTCAATTCCCTTTATTTTGGCTTACAGATACAAAGTTCAAGGCTTCGATCCATGCCAAGTTGTATTATGCAATCTTTTATTTTTTACCTTTTCAATATCTCTGAAAATAGTATAAGCATGGTCTAAATTATTAACAATTACTTCTACATGCCATATATTATTTGCCTCCCATTCTTCATTTATGTGATCGATTAAATGTTGCAGTTTCAAAATTTTCTCTTTAACATTTTCGTACCTATAAGTATTGTCTTCATTACTTGTGTATTGTTCAAATGTACTTATCTGATTGTATTCTAAATTTTGTAGATTTTCTGATATGTTCTGTGATACACTTCTATTCCAAATTAGAAAAGGATAATCTGTTTGTCTCTTGAAGTTAGAATAGATTAATCGAATGGGTTGTAAAGAATCTTCCACTTTTTTTGAAGCTTCAGAGATCAAATGCTTACAAATAAGAAAATGGCTACAAAAAAATGAAGGACAGCTACAAATTCAGTGTGACAAATCAATAAAGTAACGTTCTTCAATATTGTTAATTGGTTTGTTTAGGTGATTTTGCCATTCTACTTTAAAAGCTTCGAATCATGATGGTTCTATTCTTCCAAGTGCTATCAGTTGAAATCTACTAACTTGATCTGGTAAAACGCGTGAGCATATAATTCACAGAAGGTAGTCAAGTCGTGGGCGATTATATTGATAGAGATAACAGTGCTTTAAAACTTTCTAATGGGCTTCAATCATTATATTTGTTTTTCCCAATGGTATTGTTTTTCTAGTAGAACGTGCCCAAAGACACCATCTTGAAGGTTTATACCAGGCTGACCATAAGTATACCCATAATATTACAAGATTATTCACAATGCAAAAATTATATATTTCATAAATTGCTTTTAATCTTATTTCTGTAGGAGTTAAAAACTGACCGTTAGCATTAATAGGAATCTTGGGATGCATATTAAAATGCTTTCTAACAAGATCAATAACGGTTCCACGTAGTTTTAATAGGCAAACAGCATAATACTCAACATCCGTTCGCTGTAAATTGGGCACAAAAGAAGAATTGATGTAGGGAAACTCATTTACTACTTCCTCATATTTATAGTTGATATGTTGAATTCTCTTACAACTTCTAAGCTTCTGTTTAAGCGCCTTTTCAATATACCATTAACATAGTTGTATATCACTTTCTGGCCATACATTTTTCGCAGAATTTATCTCAGCAAAATCTTTATCAGTGTAAAAATAAGCTGGATTTAAACCTTTATTATGAACAGCATAAAAAAAACCTGTAAGAGCTTCAGTTCGTAAGCCTTTATATGTTTCTTCATTAGAAGCTTTAGTTGTGTCTAAAATAAGATAAGCTAATGGAAAGCCGGCATCTTCGACGTTACCAACAAGTCCATATAACTCAAAACGCCCTTTAGCTGTTTTATATGTTGCATCACAATGTAATTCTGTTATATTTGATGCTTGGTTAAGTAAAGGTGTTGTGAAACCAAGGGCTGTTGTATAATCAGTTTCAAGTTGAAAACATAGATTACAACCACTATCCTCTTTGCATTTTAAGAACATACGTGCAGAAATAATGTGATTTTTGTCAGATTTATAAAATTGCTGCATGTAATATGATCACCAGTAATAAATCTGTTTAGAAGTAATTTTTAACATATCAAACCTCTTGCGAAGGTATATTTGTAAGTATACAGGGCTCATTTCCAAATTTTCTTTTATTGTTTGTTTAATTTCGGATGGCACTGTGACTTCATTGGGCTTATCATACATCATACTATGATGAAGCATTATTTTTGCTTCTGCAGCTGGGATGTCAATATGAATGGACAACTTTCCATAACAATCGAAACGTTCGGTCCTCTTGCGGTTTGAATCTTTGTATTCTTAATTAATTTCATTGCTTTGAGAACATAGTAAGTAAGCATTTCCAACACCCTGATGACGAGCTGAGAGGTTTGGTGCAGTCTTAGCACTGTAATTGTATTTTTTTTTTTATTTAATTATTTTTATTTTATTTTATTTTATTTTACCACTACTAATAATAATAATTTACTTACACCCAATTATAGTCATCTCCTTCTTCAATTTCATCAACAATCAATTTAGC